AAAAATTATCCGATTTATGCCGTGTTTGGTGTCCTTTTAATCGAAAAAGTTTCATTAATCCATTAAAATTATTTTCGACTCAATTAAATGTAAATTAAAAGTTTTGATTTTTATATATTATATAAGATATTTAAACTCGTCAATTATTGCAGAGATAGGGAATTCCCGAGCGTCGAAGCGAGAGCGAGAACGAGTAAAGAGCTAGCGAGATGGCATATCATCAAAGAGTTCCGAAGTCTCTCTCTTCACGTTCTTCGTTTCTATCATCTTTCGTCTCATATTACATGTTACTATAGAAAATAAAATTTTGGTATTTTGCATTTCATCGGTTTGAATATAATTTTAATGGATTATTGAGGTTTTTGCAAATAAAATGACATCAAACACGGCATAAGTCGAATAATTTTTAATTAGACAGGTAATCAAATTTTAATTATCTATCTTCGTCAACTCTGCCTTCCTTATACAGTGATAGGCAATTACTTAATAACATCAATTTCAATTGTTTAAAGAATGACTGTTCGTACATGTTGAGGCCTTTCTCTCGGGCTGAGTTCTGGGAGGTGATAGTTGAGGTCATCCCTCAAGGTGAAGTCTTCACCAAGCTGATTTAATCTTGAATAAAATCATAAAAATGATGCCTGTTGAAACTTTGGCTCTGATTCGCAAGATCTTTAATGCCTTCTTCAATAAAGGTATATATCCGGCTAAGTGGAGGAAATATTTTACAGTATTCATCCCTAAGCAGGGGGGTAAGGGATCTCTGGAACCAATTTCCCTTGCAAACAATCTTCACAAAATTTTTGAGAGGTTTATAAGCGTCTCGAGTGGTGGAAAATAATCAAGTAGTTCGGGAGTTTCAATTCGGTTTTAGGAGAGGACTTTCTTGTATGGACAGTGTTTCGATTTTAATAACTGACATTCGGAGGGCGAATTTAAACAGGGAGTATACCGGAGTGGTATTTGTAGACCTTGAAGGCGCCTTTGACAATGTTGTTCCCGAGTCTTTAGTATTTATTATTGAGAAGTGCGGTCTTCCAAATAAGATTTTGAAGTTTATTAAAGATATGGTAACATGCCGTCATACGGGTTTTGCAGAGGGAGTGGCCTTGAAAAGGAGACTTACGTATAAGGGTCTCCCTCAGGGCTCTATACTCAGCCTTACTCTATTTAATATATACATAACTGGGGTTTGCTCGTGTTTGCCAAAGGGGGTGAGGGCTCTCACTTATGCTGATGACAATTATTTATTGCTCAGGTTCTGAGCTTGAGTCTATAAGTGAACTTCTGAATCTTGCTCTGGAAAGAGTTAACTCTTTCTTCAAGATTCTGGGTCTGTGCATAGCTCCCGCGAAATCTGCTTGCTCAGTCTTCTCTAAATTAAAGAATAATAACTTGCGTATACTTATTAGGCGAAATAGATTTGTCATCAGACTGGGAGACGATGTTGTACCTTTCTCCTCGGAGACGCGTTTTTTGAGGGTATATTTGGATACCGAACTTAATTAGAAGGCTCATTTTAATAAATTAAAAAAGGATCATTAAAAGGATTAACATTCTCAAGGCTATCGCTGGAATTGGATGGGGTGCACATCCATCTAATTTGCTAATGATCTATAAAGGATTTATTCGTCCCCTCTTGGATTGGGGATGTCAGTGTTCCATCCACTTGATCCTGGCCTTTATATTAAGGCATGCAGACTTCAGTTTGCAGCTTTGAGAGTCGTTTCAGGGATGATGTGCACTACTCTTACAAACGTTATATTGGACATAAATGGCGAATTTCTCCTCTCCTCGAGATGGGATTTTCTAGTCAGAAAATTTCTATGTAGAATTAACGCTCGCTTATCACATCCTATTAGAGTTACCATTTGAGACATCATAAGTTTACAGAATGATAACGATAAGGGCTTTGGTCCCTTAATAAAAAATTTTCTTCGTGATTTGGAGGAGCTTGACCAAGTGGAGACATTTAATCTTCCGGGATTCTTGGACTTTCCTTATGATATCAGGTACGTTGAGTTGTTTGTGGACTCTGAAGTAGGCTTTCGCTTGCTAAAGGCAAAAAATATTCCGGAGATGTTCGAGAGATTCCTCAGACATGAGGTAATTGGTACAGTTTTTTATACGGACGGCTCTCGTAATGAAACCGCTAATAAAGTAGGATATGCTGTTTTCTCTCCGGATATTGGCTTGGAAAGTAAAACCCGCATTAATAACTTCTGCTCAATATTCGAGGCAGAGGCATATGCCATAATTCATACTATAAATCTCATTCTTAACTTGTTAAGTAATATTTATACTGCAGTGATTTTTTCGGATTCCTTGAGTGTCCTTTCCTGCCTGCAGAATCCGAGGGTTTCTGGTAATACTCATACCTTAATTATAAAGATCAGGAGCCTAATATATTCTTGCAGGCAACTTGGAAAGAACATAAAAATATACTGGATACCTAGTCATAAGGGTATTGCAGGTAATGAATACGTTGACATGTTGGCGAGGGAGTCTTTGAACCTTATTGATCCGTTTCTGGTTAGCAAATGCCATTACACAAACCTTTATTCTAAATTCAAAAAAGAAGCGAAAGAGGATGCCATTAGCATTCTATTAACGCAGAATAGATACAAAGGTGCTAGATATTTTAATCTGTTCGAGTCAGTGTTTTCTCCTCCGTGATATAACTTGGTTGATCGTGATCTACCGAGAGAGTTGGTGGTCATGATCTCCCGAATTAGATCTTATCATGTCTCGCTTCGTAGACACCTTTGGGGAAAAAATATAGTTGAATCATCTAGATGTTCTTATGGTCACCCATTCCAGGACCTTAACCATGTTTTCTTCAACCGTCCTGAATTTTGTGTATCTTCCAACAAACTCATCACGGCTGTTTGTCTTCATGATCCCACTGTTATCTTGGACGTCCCGCACCTCGCCTTTTCGAAGCAGATCATAATCTATAAGGAATTATCCAAATTCACGAAACAATCTAGAGTCAAAATATAACTTCTCATCTAAGGTGCCCAAGAGTATTGAAGAAGCAACAAATATAAAAGTCTAAATCGTCAAAATTGTCTAAAATTGGTGTATAAGTTTATATAGCTCCAGCCAACAAAGAAGAAGAAAAAGAAGAAGTAGTGGTTAGTTACTTCCACGAGTCTAAGGACGGCGTACAATTGGTTGAGTCATCAGGTTAAAACCAGGAAGGCTGATCCTAGCGTGGTTAGTAAATAATAACGAAAATCGATTAATTCTAAGTTAGATAATTATAAAATTAATAAGAATATTTGTAAGTCAGCTCTCCAATTGTTTTTAAAAACTCCATATTCATCTCGACTAAGAGCCAAACGCGATGTTATTGCGACAAATTAAGATAAGAAAATTTTTTGGAAACTGAGGAATTTGAATCCTATGGTTGGGATCTCAGAAATTCCCCTTGTTCCTTCTCTAAACATCCCCTGTAAGAAAAAGACGAGAAAAATATTGGTCCGAAAGTCGGCTGAATCGGGAATCGAACCCGAGACCTTCCGTTTGCCGGGCGACTGCTCTTCCAACTGAGCTATTCAGACACTTACAAATCAATATTTTTCTCAATGTTTATAACTCCCCACCCCCCCCCCCCCACCAAGGCGTCGTACCTGGTCCAAACGCAACAAATATTAATAAGAATATTTGTAAGTCAGCTCTCCAATTGTTTTTAAAAACTCCATATTCATCTCGACTAAGAGCCAAACGCGATGTTATTGCGACAAATTAAGATAAGAAAATTTTTTGGAAACTGAGGAATTTGAATCCTATGGTTGGGATCTCAGAAATTCCCCTTGTTCCTTCTCTAAACATCCCCTGTAAGAAAAAGACGAGAAAAATATTGGTCCGAAAGTCGGCTGAATCGGGAATCGAACCCGAGACCTTCCGTTTGCCGGGCGACTGCTCTTCCAACTGAGCTATTCAGACACTTACAAATCAATATTTTTCTCAATGTTTATAACTCCCCACCCCCCCACCAAGGCGTCGTACCTGGTCCAAACGCAACAAATATTAATAAGAATATTTGTAAGTCAGCTCTCCAATTGTTTTTAAAAACTCCATATTTATCTTGACTAAGAGCCAAACGCGATGTTATTGCGACAAATTAAGATAAGAAAATTTTTTGGAAACTGAGGAATTTGAATCCTATGGTTGGGATCTCAGAAATTCCCCTTGTTCCTTCTCTAAACATCCCCTGTAAGAAAAAGACGAGAAAAATATTGGTCCGAAAGTCGGCTGAATCGGTTGAGAAGGAACAAGGGGAATTTCTGAGATCCCAACCATAGGATTCAAATTCCTCAGTTTCCAAAAAATTTTCTTATCTTAATTTGTCGCAATAACATCGCGTTTGGCTCTTAGTCGAGATGAATATGGAGTTTTTAAAAACAATTGGAGAGCTGACTTACAAATATTCTTATTAATATTTGTTGCGTTTGGACCAGGTACGACGCCTTGGTGGGGGGGTGGGGGGTTATAAACATTGAGAAAAATATTGATTTGTAAGTGTCTGAATAGCTCAGTTGGAAGAGCAGTCGCCCGGCAAGCGGAAGGTCTCGGGTTCGATTCCCGATTCAGCCGACTTTTGGACCAATATTTTTCTCGTCTTTTTCTTACAGGGGATGTTTAGAGAAGGAACAAGGGGAATTTCTGAGATCCCAACCATAGGATTCAAATTCCTCAGTTTCCAAAAAATTTTCTTATCTTAATTTGTCGCAATAACATCGCGTTTGGCTTTTAGTCGAGATGAATATGGAGTTTTTAAAAATTATAAAATTGTTGAATATAATCATATTTATTGATTGATAGTACAGATACTTATTTTGCGCAAAAATATGGATTCGAAAAAATGGCGGGACGTCAGACTGGACGTGGCGGTATTGATAGTTCGTTCTTATATTTAAGATCGTCTTAAGACCTCGTTCAACCAATCAAATAGCTGCATAGCATCTCTTGATTGGTTGAACGAGGTCTTAAAACGATCTTAAATATAAGAATGGACTATGAATACCGCCCATAGAAGCAAGAAGGAAAGCGGTTCCGTGCCATAAAAAGAAGTTGAAAATCTGTGAGACCACGTTGCACTGTCGTTCTTAATTTTCTACTGTTGCGTGTAACTGATTAAATTTGAAGTATAGAATTGATAAACTTGAATATATTTGTGTGGTTCAATTTCTAAAAAAATGAGTTTTAATAAAACCAAGGAAGTCATAGAAGAGGGAGACGTTGTTATTTTATATCTCAATCCAAACAACATGCATCCTTTGGAAGTTAAAGCAAAAATTTTTAGCAAGAAGGGAGAATTCGTAGATAATGTATTCCAAACTATGTATGGCGCGTTGAAGGTCATTTCGCTGGTCGGACAAAGATACGGATCAAAAGTGGAGTTAACCAGAGGTTATGCCTATGTTTTGCAACCAACACCTGAACTTTGGACAATGATATTACCCCATAGGACACAGATCATTTACAGTCCAGATATAAGTCTCATTATACATCTAATGGAACTTAAACCAGGCAGCATAATTATCGAAACAGGTATATTATAATTAATTATGGATGAGATACATTTAAAATGTATCTCGATACAGATACAGATACAATGTAAGAAAATGTATCTATCCAAGTAGCAAACTGACGTCACTACGTCATTTGATGTCATTTTGACGTTTAATGATGTCAATTTGTTACCTGGGTACATACAAATACAAATACACAAATTAAAATGTATATAGATACAGATACTCAGGTAGTTTGAAAATATCTCAGATATATATCAGATACTTTTAAACTATATTTTATCACAATAATGGTAATATGCACAAAATATACTGAATAAATCTTTCATTTATTAATATTTTTTATTTACATTTATTAGTCTTAGCATGTTTCATGTTTATAAGAAAAATGTCCAATATATTGATGCCATATCTTTTTACTTATCTGACAATTAAGAGAGAATATCTCCGATAGCATTGCCAACAGTTTCTACATAAGCTTGATCTTTTAAAAATTTAAAGAATTAGTCAATTTAAAAAAAAATGTGAAGATATACCAGAAAATGTATCTGAGAAAAGCGATTCAAATACTATGTTTTGTATCTAAATACAATTCCAAATACAAATACTTCAATTAGAATATATCTCAGGAACACAAAATGTATCTGGATATTACTCAATGTTGGCTATAATTAATTCGATTAAACTTCATACTTTTCATAATCTATTTCAGGTACAGGTAGTGGCTCACTATCACATTCTCTAATACGAGTAGTACGTCCAAATGGTCATTTATATACTTTTGATTTTCATGAGCAGCGTGTATCTATTGCTAGCGCAGAATTTGATAGACATGGCCTAAGTGAGTTTGTAACTTTGAAAAAAAGGGATGTTTGCTTAGAAGGATTTGGAGAAGAACTGAAGCACAAAGTTGATGCAATCTTTCTGGATCTTCCGCATCCATGGTTAACCATAGAACATGCTACTGTTGCTTTAAAACGAACAGGTGAGACCTTTTAATTTTTAGTTATTATTATTATTTGCAAAAAACATTGATATCACTATGATAAATAGTTCTTATAACAAAAATATTTTAATTTACATAGAAATTATACACTACCGTCAAAAAAATTTCAGACCAAAATAATAAATAAAGATCACGGAAAAAATACACAAATAAAAATTACACGTTGAAATATGATATTCTGCTGATTGGGTTTTTTTTTATTAATAGCTATAAGATCATATATAACACCATAAAAGTAAAAATAGTTTGCATTGTTTATTATTTTCCAGACTGAATATCTGTACCTCAAGCTATTACATATTACTTTTGAAAATTATATATAAATAGTAAAAATTACAATTCACAAATATGTTTAAAGAGACACCATATACATTGTGCAAAAGTTATGTTCTATATTATACATAATGTGTAACTCAATGATTGTTATCCAACAGGTGGAAAACTTTGTTCTTTTTCTCCTTGCATCGAGCAGGTTCAACGCACCTGTGCAAATCTTATTTGTAAAGGATTCGTAGAATTAAATACATATGAATGTTTGCAAAAAGAAATGAATGTTCAATACAGATCATTGCCAATATTAGATTTTGAGTGTTTGAAATACAAGGTTTGTATATTTTATTATTTATTATTTCTGAGACAAAATAAAAGCTGAAGTAGTCTATATCTAGCATTGAATTTAATATAGCATTTACATATCAATGTAAATGCTATATTAAATTTGATAGAATATTGAAATGTACAAAATATAGATTTTTTTTAAAAACTTAATTCCATTTTAAATATTTTTCTTGGATAACTTTCTGTTTTAATGTTTTTCTTTTAACATTTATTAACAAATAAGATTTTAAGATGGTAAAAAATTAAATTTTTAAATAGCATACTATAAATAACATGAAAAATTTTAAATTGTTCAATTTTAGCACACAAATGAGGACATGACTCAAAAAAATGAAAAAAGACAAAGGGAACAAGAAGAAAAACTTCTTACAATCAGTCACGCTCAGTCATTACCTGGTCATACAGGCTTTATTACAATCGCCACTCTTCCTCCTTAACATTAATATGAAAATATAAAGGAATTATTAAGCATATAAAGAATCAAATCAAGATAAGCAAATAATTGATGAAATATAAAACTAGAACACGTGATAAGCATTAAGTAGCAGATAAATAGAATTTATGAGATTCACTATCATTCAAAATTTCAGAATTTTAAAGCTACAGAGAATTGTTTATTTTTAAAGTTGAATATTTTTTCTAAGATTACTATTGTAATAGATTTTTAGAAAACATGTATCGTCACCTGAAATAAATATTAAAGTAATGAAATAAACAGAGAGAACAATGCAATTATAAAATATGAAAAAATTGTCACTCACATTTTTTATTCGTTTGTTAGATATTTTATGTATCCGTCTTGCTCGGATTCCAACTAAGATAATCGAGTCGAGTTGCAGCCTGGTATTCTTTTACTAAATATTCTACGACTTCCCGCGAATTATCCAATTCGTCAAGATTATCTTCAAACATTTTTTCTTTGCGAAATTGTTCCAGAAACGCTTCTCGCTTACGCAACTTGTCGTATTGTTGTAAGGCTCTGTCAAAAAGCTAAAAAAATTTTTTGTTTATTAGCATTAACAATAAGTTTCAATCAATATTGCAAATCACATATTGCGATCTATTTTAATAGCTATTGAATGGCCATGAAATACTCACTGACGATATATTAGTATGATTAGCTAACATCAAACCAGAAACGCGATGTGTACTTTGTATATAAGGAGATTTTCTTGAAAGAGCTACTTGTATACTAGCTGGACCCCAAGGAATAAACTGTGCAAGTTTCCGTTCTCTAATCCTTTGTAAAGATTTATGCACTTGTGTTGGATCTATTTCACCCTATGTGAGTGTATTATATCTTTTACCATGTGTTTTATAACTCGTATGTCTGATTTTTAAGTAAATTTTAAGATAATCAATTGTAAATTATATTTTAAAGTTCTAAAATAGACTTTGTGAGCATAAACATAATAAATTTAGGAAATACCTGAATTATATTTAAGATAGATATATAACAATGAGATGCATTTCTATCTAATGCTGTGGAAACCATCATATTTTTTGGTTGCAGTAATCGTCGCATTACATCCAAAACGGATGTTTTCCTTACAGATGTGCCCTGTTTGTAAACAATATCTTTATGAAAATATCATAATTATAAAATTTAGTCATAATTAGCAATATTGTATAAATATAATTTTTATTTTGTCAAGGTCAGGATTAAGATCAAGTGTCTCCCTCTGAGCTCTACAACTTTTGTATAAAACATTTTTTTTTCTCTTGCTTTACGAAATATTTACGTGTATTGATTAAAATGGCTCACCCTCTGTGTGTGTGTGTGTGTTTTGTGTGTGTGTGTGTGTGTGTGTGTGTGTGTGTGTGTGTGTGTGTGTGTGTGTGTGTGTGTGTGTGTGTGTGTGTGTGTGTGTATATATAATATACAAGGTGTCCCGTAACGTGTCCATACTGAAACTGTGTATTCTTGGTGTTTTCATTCTAAATGTAAGTCAAAAAGTCTTAATGCACATATGCTCTAAAGTCAATTGTTTCAAAGTTATAGCGAAAAGCAAAAATAATTATTTACTTATTTATTTATAATTTTTAATTATTTACTTATTTATTTTTTACTATGACAACGCAAGCAATTGTTTTTTATAATGCCTGTCGCGAAAGTTCGATTTTCGATTACTGTTTAGCATGCAGAAAGCTTATATCTCAACAATTCAATGTATACCTTACTTTACCATAGTACTGCAAGAAAAGAATTTTATGACTTACCTTACTGCACAATTTATAAAGTAGTTAATTATTATTTAATATTATCGTTCAATTAATAATATTATCTTCAATAAATAATACTGTTCTTATTTTATGCAATTTTATTTTTTGCTGTAACTTTAAAACAATCGACTTTAGGGCATATGTATATTAAGACTTTTCAACTTAGAATGATATCAAGAATATACAGTTTCAGTACGAACATCACGTTGCAGAACATCCTGTATAACTTCAATATATGTATATAATTAAGAAATTTTTATGCAGATAAATCATTAGCAAGGTTCAAAAGTCACCATTTTTTGACTTTCTTACTCTAAGAAAACATCAAGAATAGTATCAAGAATAGTAAAACTTTTACTTGCTAGCCATAAGAGATGATAAATTCTGAATTCTGATCATTACTCACCTCTTGATCGGTTGTAAACGGAGTGTATCCAGTCATTAGGAAATGTAAGCGAGGAGTTGGTATGAGCGGTGCAATCAAACCAACTAAATCATTATTCATGTACGAAGGATATCTCAAAGTGGTTGTACTGTCGGACATTATTGTCGAAACGAATTTATTAATTTGCGTGAAACTGGGATTCTGAATATGTAATCTATCTGTGGCAATTCTATTCAAAGCAGTATTATCTAAAACCACCACACAATCTGCACATTGAGTCAACCTTTTTAATGTTAACAATGAATTATATGGCTGTACTACAACATCGCTATAACAAAAATTTGATACATGTAAATATTAAACACAAATGTTTTTTTTTAGTAGATAGTTACCTTATCTCATCTTGATTTGGAAAGACGCTATATGTCTCGATTAATTTCTTAGGAAATCTATCAGCAAGAGATTCTAACATGAAAGATCCCATGCCAGAACCTGTACCTCCTGCTATTGAATGGCACAAAACAAAACCCTATACAAGACAAAATCCTTCAATAGTATTTTAAAAATTGTAACACTATAACTATATGACAAGAAAGTAACACTAATTTTTTTTCATAGAAATTCAGATAAGAACTAAATGAATAAGAGCCAACAAACTTGTTTTCAAATATTTCTTTGTTTTGAGCATTTTAGTCAATTCCTTTTCTTTTAGATCATCTTCAGTAGAAAATTTATATTTTAAGCATCAGTAGTTTACATACATCACTGAGATCAGAATGTTCATTCCTTGTTCTGCATCTCAGTTTGAAGATTTATCAAAGATATAAAGCGGAAATGTAACCAAGATACGTGATTTTTTTTTTTTTTGCTAATCAATTTGCTGTAGATGATCTAAAAGGAAGACCAAGATGTTCAAATTAAATAAAGAATTCACAATTTGTCCAATCTCTGCACCTGGTTCTTTTCTAGCCCATTTTCTAGCAGAATTTGTATAAGCCTTAATATGCTTATTATAAATATCAGATTAAAATCATATATTAATGATAAAATATAAAAAAATAAAAATAATTACTTCCAAACTATCACTGCCATCAGCTTCTCTATCCAATATATCAAAGATTTCTTCCTGTAACTTTTCACCCTGATGATACCCTGATGCCCAGTTATTTCCAGCACCACCGCCATGTTTTGATAAATAGATATTTTCAGGATTGTACAGCTATAACAATTTAAAAAATGTATATGAATTACAAAATAATAAAAAAACAAGAATGAATAAAAATGATTACCTTCGAATATGGAGAATTCATAATAGTATGAATTACTCTGGGTTCCAAATCTAATAGTACAGCTCGTGGTATATAATGTTCATCATCTGATTGATAAAAAAAGACATCTTTTCTGTCCGTTCCATCTATTGCATAATCCTCCAAGATTCCTTCTGGGCTAATTCCATGTTCTGCACATAATCTCTTCCAAAACTCAAATCCAACTATTAAGAAAAAATATAATATATGAAATATTTATTCTGTTCTTTTCATTGTAAGGAAAAAACATGTTATAATATTATAAATTTTTGTTATATTATTATATTATTGTAATATTCTAAATTATAATAAAAGATAAATATATTAAAATTATAAAATTGAAACATAATGTAAAAGGAAATAGAAATATTTATATTATTTTCATATTTGGAAATACCCAAATAGTATGTTTTTGTATTAGAAAATTATAAAACGTAAAATTATGGAGCAAAATAACATATAATACTTTGATTGCCGCATTGGCCAAGCTGTAAAGTTATCATTTCGCACGGCATTTTGACGTTTAAACAATTCAATATAAATCACTTTATTTCAACTTGATACGAAAACACAACAACACAACTATACAGATTCAGCCAGAGAAAAACCTGAGAGAGGCCACTCCGGTGATTTTCTTAGGATTGCTTTTCGCTTCTGTACAGCAGCGCCTCTACGTCCATTTGACAGCCGCTTGAAACTACGTGGCCACATCCACATTCAGCGAGGTAAAACGTCATTTTTAGTGTGTGTCTGTACTAACTCGGACCAGAGAGAAAGATGAGAGCGGCCAGGCCGGCGTTTTGGCTGTTACCGTTTTTACGGGACTGCTTGAAGCGCCCCTCGCACCCGTTTTCAATATCGCAGGGTCGATAAAGTTTGTATTTGGTGCGAGTCCGTGCTACGCCCATAATTTTCGTGTTAACACAGTATCACGTATTCATTCTGTATATGTGCGATCTTTTCTCTTTATATATATATATATATATATATATATATATATATATATGTATTTATATAATTTGTATAAAAACTAAAATATAATTATTAAAATATATATATATATATGTGTAATGAAATATATAAATCTTATTTTAATTAAAATAAAAAGAACGATTAATTGTTCGACCACTTGGATTTTGGAATGTAATTTTTAATATATATTATATTATATTTAATATTTATCGCCGCTTCTATTAATATGAAGTGCAATGTCAACGTGCAATAATGTACAATTATTTAAAGTTTCCATGCCTAATGTATCATGCCGGTATAAAAGAACGTCAAGTAGCATGCGTAGCCGAGCGACTAAGATGACGAGCTGAAATCGTGGACATTTCAAGTTCAAATCCCTGCCTTTTTCAGATTTTTTTTTCACTTTTTTCAAATAAGTTATTATGTGTAAGAATAATCAATATATCATTATTTGATAATTTTTTTTGTAATGGAACAAAATAAATTATTTTTTAATTCTGCAAGGAATTTAATTATTAATGCAAACGCCCACACACATAATTTAGATATTCAATTTTTTTTAGTTCAAATGTTTCTTGCAATCTGTATACGACAATCAGTCCACTCGCTGTGCCACAGATTGCATCGCATAATACGCTCAGAGTTATAATACGATAGAGATCGCTTTTTTTCGCTGTTTTTCCTTGAAATAAATAAATTTTACGTGTTGTGTACGCGTGTTTAGTATAATCTCTAAAAACTCACCTTTAAAAAAAGGTAAATAAAGGCGACCAGTTAAGGACACGCCATTAACAAAAATTATTTATTGCAAACCCATGTAGAATCCTATCCTATTGCAAACTCATGTAGAATCCTATGAAAACTTAATCATTGCAAACCCATGTAGAATCCTAGGCAAAATTAACCATTGCAAACCCATGTAGAATCGTACCCATTGCAAACCTATGTGGAATCCTATGAAAAATTAACCATTGCAAACCCATGTAGAATCCTATGAAAAATTAACCATTGCAAACCCATGTAGAATTGTATTAAAAATTATCCATTGCAAACTTATGTAGAATCCTACATTGCAAACCCATGTACAATAGAATTGTATGAAAAATTATCGATTATAAACCCATGTACAATCGTAACAAAAGTAATGAAATAAAAAAAAAATTGCGACAAGTGAAAGTAGAAACTTGTACCAGTGGAAAATTAAAGTTGCAGACATATATATAGTCGTATAATGAATCAGTAAAAATTTAAATTTGCAAATGTAGAATCGTACTATAAAAAAACTTATCTTTAAAAAAAAAAAGATAAACAAGATGCCAAGTCCATTAATATAAAATAAAAAGAAATAAAAAAATTGTAGTTAAAAAAACTGGGCGCACTGCTAAATAATATTCTAATGATATAAATTGTTATTTTTAAACTCATTGCAGTTAAAATATGTTTTGTGTTTAAATTAATTAATGTTACTTTAAGGTGCTAAATAATATTCTAATGATATTAAAATTAAATTGTTATTTTTAAACTCATTGCAGTTAAAATATGTTTTGTGTTTAAATTAATTAATGTTACTTTAAGGTGCATTGTAATTTTGAAACTTAGCAGCGCGCCCAGTTTTTTTAACTACAATTTTTTTATTTCTTTTTATTTTATATTAATGGACTTGGCATCTTGTTTATCTTTTTTTTTTTAAAGATAAGTTTTTTTATAGTACGATTCTACATTTGCAAATTTAAATTTTTACTGATTCATTATACGACTATATATATGTCTGCAACTTTAATTTTCCACTGGTACAAGTTTCTACTTTCACTTGTCGCAATTTTTTTTTTATTTCATTACTTTTGTTACGATTGTACATGGGTTTATAATCGATAATTTTTCATACAATTCTATTGTACATGGGTTTGCAATGTAGGATTCTACATAAGTTTGCAATGGATAATTTTTAATACAATTCTACATGGGTTTGCAATGGTTAATTTTTCATAGGATTCTACATGGGTTTGCAATGGTTAATTTTTCATAGGATTCCACATAGGTTTGCAATGGGTACGATTCTACATGGGTTTGCAATGGTTAATTTTGCCTAGGATTCTACATGGGTTTGCAATGATTAAGTTTTCATAGGATTCTACATGAGTTTGCAATAGGATAGGATTCTACATGGGTTTGCAATAAATAATTTTTGTTAATGGCGTGTCCTTAACTGGTCGCCTTTTTTTACCTTTTTTTAAAGGTGAGTTTTTAGAGATTATACTAAACACGCGTACACAACACGTAAAATTTATTTATTTCAAGGAAAAACAGCGAAAAAAAGCGATCTCTATCGTATTATAACTCTGAGCGTATTATGCGATGGAATCTGTGGCATAGCGAGTGGACTGATTGTCGTATACAGATTGCAAGAAACATTTGAACTAAAAAAAATTGAATATCTAAATTATGTGTGTGGGCGTTTGCATTAATAATTAAATTCCTTGCAGAATTAAAAAATAATTTATTTTGTTCCATTACAAAAAAAATTATCAAATAATGATATATTGATTATTCTTACACATAATAACTTATTTGAAAAAAGTGAAAAAAAAATCTGAAAAAGGCAGGGGTTTGAACTTGAAATGTCCACGATTTCAGCTCGTCATCTTAGTCGCTCGGCTACGCATGCTACTTGACGTTCTTTTATACCGGCATGATACATTAGGCATGGAAACTTTAAATAATTGTACATTATTGCACGTTGACATTGCACTTCATATTAATAGAAGCGGCGATAAATATTAAATATAATATAATATATATTAAAAATTACATTCCAAAATCCAAGTGGTCGAACAATTAATCGTTCTTTTTATTTTAATTAAAACAAGATTTATATATTTCATTACACATATATATATATATATTTAATAATTATATTTTAGTTTTTATACAAATTATATAAATACATATATATATATATATATATATATATATATATAAGAGAACAGATCGCACATATACAGAATGAATACGTGATACTGTGTTAACACGAAAATTATGGGCGTAGCACGGACTCGCACCAAATACAAATTTTATCGACCCTGCCAGAAAATGGGTGTGCAGTTAGTTCCGATATTGAAAACGGGTGCGAGGGGCGCTTCAAGCAGTCCCGTAAAAACGGTAACAGCCAAAACGCCGGCCTGGCCGCTCTCATCTTTCTCTCTGTTTCAATAATCCTTTAACCCCTCTACGGAAATAAATAAATAAATGCAAGTGTTTTGTATATTCTCTCCTTTGGTTTTTATCGGAGCTATCGCCTAGTTCTCTTGTGGACTGCGTCGATAGGCAAGGATAGATAGCAGGAACTAGTCTCTTTATTCTAAGTAAGAATTAATGGAAAAACTATACGTAATTTTTATTCTTCGGATCACAAATGTTCTTCTCGTGTTTACCGGACGGCTCGTCGTACCAGACTGGCTCTCCGTGCCACATCGCTCTTTTGAAAACGCGGAAACTCTCTCCGAATTCGGCGCTTCGCCCTTGTGGACGCAATAACAATCTGTCGATGTACACAATTACAGAGAGCTCTCAGTAGCGTATATCGAAGGCGCGCGGGGATCACGGAAATTTAATTTTTTCCCAAACATACCCCTCGGGTTGAATCGCCAAGGGATTCAAATGACAGTCAGGGGTAAATCTTTACACATTGAACTGCAATCATTGGAGACAACCTGCAGAATTTAGATTACGCTGAACCGTCCGGACTTACCGGCAATTTACAGAGTTTAACAATAGGTCTTACAAAAGTAGAAGACGCGGTCTTGACCTGAGCAACTCGCACCAGGCCATCCTTGTCAGGCTTACATTCGATGATTCTCGCAAGCTCCCATCTGCAGGGAGGTAAATTAGGATTTTTTATTAGAACAATATCGTTTATGCAAAATTCATCAGATCGATTCTGCCATTTGAAACGCTGCTGCAAGGTGTTCAAGTAGTCAAGACTCCACAATTTCCAAAATTGCTCGTATTTCGCACGCATTAATTGCCATCGATCGAGTCGTGACTCGGAGATATGTAAGACGCTCGGACTCGGAATCAATTTAATGGCACTACCAATTAAAAAATGCCCTGGTGTGAGCGCATTGTAAGAATTTACATCGTCATGAAGTGCGGCGATCGGGCGCGAATTCAAACATGCTTCGATGTTACATAAAAGAGTGGTGAACTCTTCGACCGTAGGTGTGCAGGAACCAAGTATACGTCGCAAGTGGTGCTTAACACTCTTAACACCTGCCTCCCACATGCCCCCAAAATGAGGGGCAGAAGGCGGAATGAAATGCCATTGAACTGGCTTTGACGCGAACTTTGCCTGCAGATCTACGTCGGCTTGAGTCTGTCGGATCGCTGTAACAAGTTCGCGATCCGCGCCTTGATAGGTAGTCGCGTTGTCGGAATAAAGATCGGATGGAATGCCACGACGCGCTACGAACCGTTCAAATGCGAGAAACGCAGCCGTGGAATAATCATGAACGAGCTCTAAGTGTATAGCTCGTGTAGCGAGACAAACAAATAGCGAGATGTATGTTTTGTGCGACTTACGTCCGCGGCCGGAAGCGTCTCGAATTGCGAAGGGGCCGGCGTAATCAAGTCCCGTATGGCAAAATGGACGGGACGGAGTTACTCTAAATGTAGGAAGGTCGGCCATAAATTGTACGCCGGTTATGGCGCGATGCCGAGTACATGTCACGCAATTGCGGATACAACCTTTTACCATGCTTCGCGCCCCCAGAATCCAATATTGTTCTCGCAACGTGCGAAGCATTAATTGTACACCGCCGTGAAGTGTATCCTTATGAATTTGATCGATAATGAGCTTAGAAAGGTAATGTTTTGGAAGTAGAATCGGAAATTTACGATCATATGAAAGGTCAGACATTTGAAGTCGACCACCCACGCGTAGGATACCGGAGGGATCCAGGAACGGATCGAGAGAATGGATGGAGCATCGAACTGGTAACCTCGACTTGGCTTTGAAAGCGACGATTTCTTTTGAAAAGTATTCCGTTTGCATCTGTTTAATCCAGAATCTGTGCGCGATTTTTATTTCATCGACTTGCAAAATAGAGAGAATTTGAGCAACATTTGGGACTCTCGTTCGAAACTTGAACCGAAGGACGTATGCGGTGACCCGTAGTAAGCGTGGCCACGTGGAGATATGATTGAAGGATTCAAAAAGTTCCGCTCGATTTGAATGATGCGAGTGGACTGCATTTGACGCTTTCAATTCGGAATCATCTTCGGTGCAACTTATCGTAGATTGAACTGGCCAACTATCCTCGTTAAATTTCAGCCATGCCGGGCCGTTCCACCAGGAACTTGAAGGCGTTAGCTGAGCTGGATTTATGCCGCGCGATGCGCAATCCGCGGGATTATCTTCTGTTGGCACATGCAGCCATGTCGCCGTAGGAAGCTTCGTTTGAATAGAAGACACTCTGTTAGCTACAAATACTTTTAAATCTGATGGAGCCTTTTGCAACCATGCTAATACGATCGTCGAGTCACTCCAGCAAAACACAGGAATGTTTTGCAATTTCATCGCGTCAATAGTAAACGAAATACAGCGAGCTAGCAGCTGAGCCGCACAGAGCTCGAGTCGTGGAATCGAAATCGTTTTAATCGGAGCGACCTTGGTTTTTGATAGGAGAAGTCGAACATGACTATCGCCAGAATTCGTGACAATTTTTGAATAGACTACCGCTGCATAGGCTTTAGATGAAGCGTCGCAAAAGCCGTGTAAATGCAAGCACTGAATATTACGCTCGAAGCCTAACCAACGAGGAACTCAGCAGAGTCGTCAAGTGTAACATCTTTTCGCAAAAAGCATTCCATTCGGTTGTTATTTCCGCAGGAAGAATATCATCCCATCCGTAGGAAAATTTCCACAGTTTTTGCAGTAGAATTTTGAGAGATATCGTGATCGGAGACACCCATCCGAGGGGATCGAATATTTTCGCTATCGTCGAAAGGATTTGTCGTTTCGAAATGTCGGTAGATGGTAGACGGAATTTTATTTCAAAGGAGAAATTATCATCGCAAGGTGTCCAATGAATACCGAGTATTTTTAATTGTTCACCTTCTTGGAAAGGCTTGGAACTTGCTAGACCGTGATTCGCAGGATTTATATCTTGTAGAATTTCAAAATCGTTGCTGGCCCATTTTCTGAGATGAATGCCTGCGCTTAGTAAACAGCCGATTAATTGGTCGCGTTTTTAATCGTGGACGGTTTATCATCGCCTCCGGATAGGACATCGTCAACGTATATTTCATTTTGCAAAATTGTTTGAGCTAGTGGAAAACGCGAACTCTCGTCGATTGAAAGTTGTTTGAGCACGCGTTGGGCGAGATAAGGCGCGCAGGCAGTACCATAAGTAACGGTATTTAATGAATAAGTATGGACTGGCTCGTTCGGAATCGTACGCCACAATATTAATTGATATTGGCGATTGTCTGAATGAATCTGTATTTGTCGAAACATTTGCTGAATATCAGCGGAAAAAACGTATTTGTACAAACGCCATTGAAGAATAATCGCTGGAAGATCGGCTTGTAACTTTGGACCAATCATAAGATGGTCATTCAAAGAAGTGTTATTCAAGGTATTTGCCGAGGCATTAAACACTACACGAAGTTTGGTTGTAGTATTGTCCTCGCGAATAACTGGATGATGAGGTAGAAACGTCGGTTAAAAGAAGCGTTGCACGTTTTCGATTTTTTGCATATGCCCGAGCTCTTCGTACTCGTTAAGAAAGTCGACGTATTGCCCTGAAATTTCCCGAGAATTGGCTAAACGTCGCTCTAGTTGCGCGAGGGAACGCGTAGCTACTGACCTTGACTCGCCGATCTTTATCGGAGGGCCAGACTTGAAGGGTAAGCGGACAACATAGCGCCCTGAAGAATCGCGCATATGTGTCTCTTGAAAATGTAAGTTGCAACGAAGATTTTCCTTTGAGAGAGCGTGTGTCGTTGGAATTTCTTCCAGCTCCCAAAAACGTCGGAGTTCGAAATCGAGATTGCCAGAAGTTGCTTGGTGAACGTGAATTCTTTGGCTATCCTTTTGGTTTGAAATAGGACCCGAAATGATCCACCCGAATATCGTTTCTTGCGCAAGTGTAGCATCGTTAGAAGCTTTCATTAAGCCACCTATCATAATTGAACCGTATAATTCGGCCCCGAGAAGTACTTCGATTGCATCATTTGAGCTTGGATTTGGATCGGCTAGATTCAATTTGGAAAGAAACGGAATCTCTTGTAATTGGAAATGAGGTGGAATGTACACTGTAATTTTTGGAACGACCAATGCTTTGGTATGAAGAATCGTATCATTTTCATTAGTCGCGCTGATAGAAATAGAGACGGCATGTTGAACGCAATTAGACGTAGTGTCACCGATGCCAGATACCTTTACGCGTGTTGAAATTAAGCGAGCTCTCAACATTTGAGCGACTCGTGACGAAACGAATGTGGCATCGGAACCTTGATCGATCAGTGCTCGCGTGTAAACATATCGACCGTTTTCTGATCCTATACAAACACGTGCGGTAGCCAGGAGCACGGGTTTAACTCCCTCGTTCACGTGTGAATGTACGTTGGACGCGTTATCGCATTGTCCAGAGTCTGTTGTTGTCGTTAAACTTGACCTTGAATTCTCGTGTAACAAAGTATGATGTTGTCTTTTACATTTCAAGCAAGTAAAGGAACTACGACAATTCGAAACGTAATGACCTTTGGTCAAACAATTTTTGCATATATTATTTTTTTGAACAAACTCTAGTCGATGCGAAATGCTTAACGCTTGAAATTTCTCGCAATGCATTAAACGATGTGTTTCGGAACAAAGAGCGCACGTACTCGCAGTGTTTGTATGGTGAGAACGCACTATATTATTTTTCGTGCCGCATTTGGAATCGAGCGAGCACCGGAACTCTTTTCGGATGAGTTTCCGTTTGCGGACTTCGAGTTATCTCCGTCCTTGGATACAGCCTCAAGCGGACGAATTTGTGTATCTAGAAACGCGTATAGTTTTTCCATCGTAGGATATCTCCTCTCCGAACCTAAGCTGACTTCCCAATCTTTTCTCGTCAATTTGTCTAGTTTTTATACAAGAATGTAGACTAAAATCATATCCCATTCATCTACAGAACATTTCAAGGCACGCAGAGCATTTATCAATTCCGATGAATTGAAGCGTAATTGTTTTAACCCGAACAGATCGTTAAACGAAACAGTAGGAATGGTAAATAAACGTTTGAAATATGCGTCAATAATAACGCGTTGATTTTCGTAACGATTCGTGCTCCTTCCATGCAACATCGAAATTACTATCGGTTAGAGAAAGATGGGAAATCAACTTAGCAGCGTCGCCAGTAACCGCGGATAATAAATATTGCAATTTCTCGACTTGCGATATGGAACGGCGATTTTTAACGAGCGCAAGAAACAAATCGCGAAAAGTTAGCCACTCGGTTACATTACCGGAGAAAGAAGGCAAGTTGATCTTCGGCAATCGGATCTCGTTGATGGACGTCGTTGTGGCCGCCGTTGGTACAGGAATGGAAATTGAAGCGACGTTGAATGCCTCGAGTTTTTCTTGAAAGAAGTCGTAGGCTTGCATGTACGAGACCTCTGCCTTGTCTAGCAGCTTGTTCTTGAAGAAGGGAAGCTGTGCCGCGTCTGCGTCGGTTGCTACTGCCTCAATGATAGCGGCATTCTCCTGGCATTTATTCCAGTAATTTTGCAAGAGTTGAAATCGTCCTTTAGTGATGGCATGAGTTTGATTATCAACTCCAAGCTTTTGGAAATTCGTTATTGAGTTCGTTAAATAACGTAAATTCGTATCGAACGCAAATATTGCCTTGTCCATTTCGATCTATTGTCTTGCAGAGCTCGACCTTGTAAGGTAAACACGGTGTTGAAATGGAGAATGTATGTACGTGAGTCGAAATACTTCCTTGTCGTACGGAAATTTTTACTCGGAATGTAGCGCAATTGTTGAATGGCTCACTTGAAGTAGTTGCACTGATTGCACGTGTATCTTATTTGAATCCATCCGTTAATTTCTCGACACAGATCCGGCTCGAAGGACCATGTTTTGTATATTTTCTCCTTTGGTTTTTATCGGAGCTATCGCCTAGTTCTCTCTTGTGGACTGCGTCGATAGGCAAGGATAGATAGCAGGAACTAGTCTCTTTATTCTAAGTAAGAATACGTAATTTTTATTCTTCGGATCACAATGTTCTTCTCGTGTTTACCGGACGGCTCGTCGTACCAGACTCGCTCTCCGTGCCGCATCGCTCCTTTTTAAAAACGCGGAAACTCTCTCCGAATTCGGCGCTTCGCCCTTGTGGACGCAATAACAAACTGTCGATGCACACAATTGCAGAGAGCTCTCAGTAGCGTATATCGAAGGCGCGCGGGGATCACAGAAATTTAATTTTTTCCCAAACAGCAAGAGAAAAATATAGATCCAAAAGTCGCTGAATCGGGAATCGAACCCGAAACCTTTCGCTTGCCGGGCGACTGCTCTTCCAACTGAGCTATTCAGATCCTTTTAAAAGGATCATATTCCTTTTAAAAGGATTTAAAAGAAATAACTGTTAATTTATGATCCTTTTAAAAGGATCTGAATAGCTCAGTTGGAAGAGCAGTCGCCCGGCAAGCGAAAGGTCTCGGGTTCGATTCCTGATTCAGCGACTTTCGGATCTATATTTTTCTCTTGCATTTATTTATTTATTTCCGTAGGGGGGTTAAAGGATTATTGAAATTAAATCTCAAAAATGAGATTATTTCATATTTTAAAATCTTGGACGCGACCAAGTAAAATTTGGTGACTTGTGCACAGATATTTAATTCTAACGAAAAAATTTAGTTTCGTTAGGATAACGCACTGTCTTCCGTGATTGGCTCTTATTGCCTGTCTTACACTTTAAATTTATCCATTTGTATTTAAAAGAAGATAATTCCCGGTTAAAATAGCTTTCGCTATGACAATAAATAAATAGTACAGGAGGCAGTGAATATTTTGTGCACTTACTTTCGCAGTCAATAAATATTGATAGGATTGTTCCATTAATGATGCTAATTAACAAATCGGCAATCTGGCAACAATTTTCCACTGGATTCAATGGATGGAAAATACAAATGAGTTGCACTTATTTTTGCAGTCCTGAAACTTCTTGTACTACTTAACATTATGATCATATTTACTACAAAAGCAGTCTAACCGATCTCAAGGTATAGAAAATCAGTCTGGCTATGACTTTTCGATAAATCCGTTGATCGAAAAATCAGATCGATTTCCGAAATACGTTGCACTTATTTTCACATTAACAAAACTTATTGTACTAACTAATATTGTCATAAAATATAATTAAAAATCAGTCTGGCTGATTTGCGGCGTTGGCAAGTAAATCTGTTGGCACCTCAAAATTTGGAAAAATAGAAAATCATTGTACTTATTTTTGCTGTGCTGAAAATTTGTTTCATGATAATTTGCATTATAAAAATAGTAAAGAAAACAGTCTGGCTATAATACGGGACCACCAAAGCCTCGCCAGACTGATCGAAAGACGTAAAACCTATGCAAATTAATAAGCAATCGGAATGTTTTTTGTTCGCACTCGTACAGGAGCAGCAGTTTTATTTTCGCAATGCTGAAAATTTATTAGATGATAGTCTATACTATAACTAAATGAAAGAAAACAGTCTGGCTGCTATTCAGAATTACCAGAGCCTTGCCAGACTCGCCTAACATATTAATTGGCCATGAGCGCTCAATGCTGTATTTTCGATTATATACGCAGACGACTTGCATTCTATTTTCTCATATTTTTTCGTAAGTTTTTTATACTTTTAAACATTAAGAAAATATGCAAGTGCATATTTTGTAAATTGCAAATTGTTTCGGAAATGCAAACGTTCGACGCCAATGAATCGGAAAAGCTAGCAGCTACTCGGCGGTTGCTTAGCAATGCAGTTTGTTAATAATGCTTCTTTCTCTGATTCTTCCGAGAAATCGTCACAAAAGGACGTAGTATTTCCTTGAGAATATTAAAAAGGAACACTAACAAGACCTTTTATTTTTTGAGACCTTCTTGCCATTAATGTAATCCCGCCATCCGAATTTCCGAAACTGTTACCCAAATTCCAATGGAGGAAGCTTCGGAACCACGAACCGCTGACCATTGTGGAAGTGCCCTGTTAAAGACGAATTCAAGTGCTATCATCAGATTTTCTTCTTGTGCCGAACACTAAGAGCAGCTTTTTTGTGCCAAATACTAAGGGCAGCTTCTTTGTGCCAAATACTAAGAGTAGCTTCTTTGTGCCAAATACTAAAGGCAGCTTCTTGTGCCGAACGCTAAGGGCAGCTTTCTATTTTGTGTGCCAAACCTTAAAGGGCAGTTTACCAAAAGGTTAAGGACAGCTTCTAGACCTCTTCAAAATAAGATCGAATCTGAACCAGATCTCCTCTCCCCCCTCTTGATTAAAGGTAAGGCGAGGAAATTGAATTCCTTTGCTGCTTCGAGCAAGTCGAAACTCTCTTCGAGAAATCAACTTCAATAATAACATAAAAAATCGTCGATCGAACATGGTTTCTTTTCCAGTTTATATATAACATATATACTTTACTATATTTATTTACATACGTGTTAAACTGATTATTTTTTTTTTTTTAATGTTTATGAGCTAATTATGAGCATTGCATTTGGTTCAATAAATGTTGTTTTACAGCTTTTACCTTAACAAGAAATTATTGTTAATATTCTTTACATAAAAGTAATAAATACGAATTTGTTTTTAAGTTAATGACAATTCACGAAGATCGATTCTGTTAATCATCTCTATTGAAATTAATAATGTTATTTTACCGTTCATGAAAAGGAATTAAAAGTTGTTTTGAATCTTTTAATTTTAAGTATAATTTTCAAATTTTGTTTCAATTATAATCAAATAAACCTTCTAATAAACTTTGATGTTGTAATAAATTATATGAGATTAAATTCAAATAGTTGTTTTTTTGTATTGTTATTCCACAGTATTGTGCAAAATCCATAATTAGAATTTTTCAGGTGATCAAGTATTCGGTAAATCCCCTCAGAACACAAATGTTATCTAATTTGTCATACATAATTTTTTAATTAACTAATAAATCTTTTTATTTTTTTTTTTTTTTTTTACGACTGCTCTTACCAACTAAGCTATTCAGACCCTTTCGATCCTATATTTTTCATTTGCCTTTTAGTAGATGTCGCCCGGAAAGTGAAAGACGCGGGTTCGATTCCCGCTTCAGCGACTTTTCGGACCTATATTTTTCGTGCCTATTTCTCCATATGTAAGTTTCGAGATTAATTTATATATGAAACTTAGTGATTTCAAACCAAGAGATACAGTTCCAAATAATTAATTTTTCGTGCTTTGGCTCTGTTGGCCGATTTAAAAAAATATCATATTTATATTCTTAATATTGAGAGCCGATAAAAATATTTCTTTCTGATTTTATTCACGCCTTGGCCTAATCACGGCGTTATTTACTAACATCTACTAAAAGGCAAATGAAAAATATAGGATCGAAACAGTCTGAATAGCTTAGTTGGTAAGAGCAGTCGCCCGGAAAATGAAAGACGCGGGTTCGATTTCCGCTTCAGCGACTTTTCGGACCTACATTTTTTGCGCCTATTTCTCCATATGTAAGTTTTGAGATTAATTTATGTATGGAACTTAGTGATCTCAAACCAAGAGATACAGTTCCGAATAATTAATTTTTCGTGCTTTGGCTCTGTTAACCGATTTAAAAACCATCATAAGAATATTTCAGTTAGTGAGACAGTTTCTGATTAGAAATAAAGTAAGTAAGTATGATTTGCTATTTTCTATTTGTCAAATGATACCGATATAATAAAGTTATAACTATACTAAAAAAAACATTTACTAAATTTAAAAAATAATAAATATTTAGTTCAATACTCAGAAGCAGGTATTTATTTAAATTAACCCTCAAACTGAACATGTTTTTTTTGGCACTGTAATCCTGAACGCGTGAGTAACTGGAGTCCGATTTTATTTTTGTACTCTAAAATTACTTAAAAAATTCTATAAAAATTTACACATTTTCTTTTAAGTTTAATCTAAAAGTTTATGTAGTAGAGTTAAAAAAAAATATTTTTAAATATTATATTTTTGTTATTTATTATTTATAGATCAAGATTTGGAAACAAATGTTTTATAAATTCTTTTTAAATTAATAAAAATTTGATAAAATAATTTTGAACAAAAAGTCGTCCAGGAATTTTTAGCTCAAAGTTCAAACGAAAAAAAATACTATATGTCCACGGCTTTAAAAAATTATAATTATTTGAATGATCGAAAATGGATATTTTAGATTTAAATTCGCCAGCATTTTGCACTGAACTTTTTAAATTGTTCTTTTAGTTATAACTTCCTTTTGACACAAACTTTTTTTTTGATAAATTTCTAACCTAACCTAACCTCGAGAGTTTATTAATATTTTTTTAAAACAATGGATTAATGGTTAAGCAAAAATATATTTAAATCAGTGAAATTTTATTTATTAAAATTTAGTTTTATTGATTTAAGTGAATATTGAACTAAATATTTATATATTATCTTTTAGATTTACAAAATTTTTCAGTGTAACAATAAGTAATTACATTTTTATTTTAGGTCCCATACAAACATCCTCGACTTGACTCATCAGCTGTTCCAACAATATTTGATAGCGATAAGGAGGCACAATACAATAATCAAAATACTACACTTTCCGATCTCACTTCAAACTCAATTAGCAAAACTGTTATTACTGAGCACAGTTATTGTTCTTCAGAGAAATTATCTCCAGAATTTGTTAACAAGCCAATAAGCGATTTTGCTGCAGAAATCTTGAAAACAGATAACGGTTGTTCTGACAATAACAAACAAGAAAATCTAAAATGTATGTAAATTAGGAAAAGATTAAATTAATTACATATGTATATATATAAGAAAAAGTAATAGTATATAAAGATATGTATGATACAAACATTTATTGTTACAGACGTAATAACAGATGGAGTAATAGATATAAATAACTTAGAGAATACGCATTTAAAGCTTCAACACGAGGTACCTTCTCCAATGGAAATAGATAATATTGAATCGACACAGAATAAAGAAATTAAGGATCATTCAATAATACATCCTACATTGAAAGTGCAAAATCTTAGTTTTGACATTATTTCAAAAGTCACTATATTAGTGATCGTAAGCAACTTAATATGTAAAAATTAAAAAGACTTAACTGCCAATTGAATTAATGCTGCGTTTTTTATAATACTTTTCATATTTTCATATAGATACTAATCATGTTGTGACAAATAGTGTGAACGACAATAATATTATTGCAATGCCAAAGCCATGGAGTGTTTCTAAATTCACAGATAAAATTGAAACTATTGTATTCTCAATATCTGTGAAGAAGATAGAAAATAATATAAAAATACCGGTAACACAAAAAACCGTAACGATTAGTGCCGATAAGAACATTTGTTATTTTGTGTACGGGCGTGTTGTTGATGCACAGAAATGTAATCTCGCACAGATTCTGGACTATTTAAAGCAGTTGCCGCAATTTTTGAATATATTTAAAAATATGAGTATCTGCAATGGTCTCGACACTATGAACGTTAACCACTTATCAACACATAATGTATTTAAAAATTATATTGGCGAATGGCGTTCACAAGAGCGCACATAGATCTCAAAGAAGAAAAAATGTAATCGTTGCTTACAGATAAGGCAGTTGACATGGGAAAAAGAAATGAGATCAAAAAGAACTACCAAATATATACATGCAGCTTCAAATCCCATCAATCCCAGATCAAAAAAAGATAATCGCGCTTAGGAAGAACAATCTTCCTGAACGGCGTCAAAAGATGAGAGCACAGAGACGTGTCTAATTATTACAGCAATCTTTAAAAGACAAAAAAAGTGAACATTTTTCGATCAGTGCCGAAACATTGGAAGCACGAAGCTCGCAATTTAATATCCCTGCTGCACAAGAAAAGTGTACTTAAAGAAATTATTCTGGCTGCGAGTAAGAAAAATTCTAAAAATTGGCGGTACAGTGAAGAATGGATTATGCTGTGTCTACTGATGAATATAAGATCACCAGGATATTAAGAATTTTTTTGTACAAACAACATTTTGCCACTGCCTTGTAAGAGAACAATCCGTCGTTACTTATCACTCGTCAACATGAAATGTGGCTTCGACGAAGAATTTCTAAAATTACTCCAAAAACATTTTGACGCTAATACACCTATGCAGCGACATGGTGTAATTCTATCTAATGCTATATCTATATCTATAATATATCTAACGCTTGAGGGGATTTATCCCAGAGCGTATAATAAATAACGCCCCCCCTCTCTCTCTCTCTCTCTCTCTCTCTCTCTCTCTCTCTCTCTCTCTGTCTCTATCTCTCCCTCTCTCTATCTTTCCCTCTCTCTCTCTCTCTCTCTCTCTCTCTCTCTCTCTCTCTCTATATATATATATATATATATATATATATATATATATATATATATATATATACAGTGTGTCCGGTAACTAACGGACCAACAATTACAAATGGATTCTTTGGTCAATTTGGGAACGATTTTTCCTCAGCGAAAATGTCGAAAAAGTCATCATTTTTTACAACTTTCCAATATTTGTCATTATGTATCTTTATAACTAAGCCTTAAATTAAAATTTTATTATAGTAAACTCTACCTGAAATTAACTGAAGAATGTAATTATGTTAGATTTTTAACTCCAAAACGTTTAGTTTTCAAAAAACCTATTTTTTTCAATCGTTTATAACTCGAAAATTATTGACTTCTCAACATTTTTGCTAAGGAAAAATCGTCTCCAAATTGGCCAGAGAATCCGCCCTTAATCATTGGTCCGTTAGTTACCGGGCACACTGTATATATATATATATATATATATATATACCCAGATAGCAAAATATATGCATTCTGTACTCATATTGTACTTATATTTCTCAAAACATGATGACAAAAATAGACACAGATGCTCATACGTATGCTACTCAAAACACGGACATATTATGATATCTTAAAAATGTTTGCAAAAAATGTCATTATGAGTATACATGAATATGCTCAAATTAATACATTGAAAAATGTATATCATATGTATGTAACTTGCGCTCATAATACGATGCAGGGTTGGGAAAGTTACTTTGTAAAAATAACTAGTTACAGTTACAGTTATTTTATTGAAAAAGTAAATAGTTACAGTTACAAGTTACCGATTTTAAAAAATAACTCGTTACAGTTACAGTTACTCAAAAAGTAACGAGTTATTATTTTTCAGTTACTTTTTAAAAATAATTATACATTATTTTAAATATAAGGAGCTTACATTTTATGCACAACCACAGTCAAGTATTTAAAAAAATTCTTGAATGTAATATTGATCGATTTGCTTGCGACTTTGCGATTACCATCAATGTATGAATGACCTTTAGATACAACAGTAAAAATAGTTATAGTAACTTACTAAATGGTAATCGCAAAGTCGCAAGCAAATCGATCAATTATTACATTTAAGAATTTTTTTTAAATACTTGACTGTAATTGGTCGATCTTAATTGTGTTATTTTATGTACACAAAATTAAAATTTTAGGTAAAAGATTCAATCATATGAAGATCCATATGCTACTGTTATCAAAATTTAATTTAACAATATAACGGCTACCATACTTAAACAATACTTTTAGCAGATGTTTCCAAAAAAAGTAACTAAGAAAGTAACTGTTAAAATAGTTACTAGTTACTAAAAAAATGTAACTAAGTTAAAGTTACAGTTACAGATGAAGAAAAGTAACGAAGTTAAGTTACAGTTACCGAAAAAAAGTAACTGTAACTGTAACTTCGTTACAAGTAACTCGTTACTTCCCAACCCTGCTATCATCATAATATATGATTACAAGACATACAATACATTTCAATCATATCAGAAGATCATGACATGATGAAATCTAATCATCAGGCATTTCTATCTGGGTATACTCGTATATGTATAGAGCAACGACACGATATATATATATATATATATATATATATCTTACGATATATATATATATATATCTTACGATATATATATGTATATATATAGTTATCTTACTTAGTATATGACTATAGCTATATAATAGTTGTTATATATATATATATATATATATATAATGCGTTTTTTTTTTAATTGTTTATAACTCAAAAATTATTAACTTATCAACATTTTCGCTAAAGAAAAATTGTTTTTAAATTGGTCAGAGAATCCATTTAACCATTGGGGCAATTATTATCAGCCATCTTACTTAGTATATGACTATAGCTATATAATAGTTGTTATATATACCATATACGAGGTGTGTTCAAAAAGTATCGCGAATTTTGAATTTCCGCGGGTTACGTATATTCGATTTTCGATTTTTTTGTGGCGTTATGTTGGTACTCATGTTTCTCATTTATGCCGACAAGTACGGCCATTTTGAATGTTCAGTTAATTTTTGACAGCTGCTTTGCTTGCACGTGTTTTGGCTCGTCTTCGATTTTTGCCTATTCCAAAAAATGGATCAAAGAATCTGTATCAAATTTTGTGTGAAAAACAAAATTAAGTGCGCGGACGCATTCCGAATGTTGACTGTGGCATATGGTGAAGCTACCTTGGACCGAAGCAACGTTTATCGGTGGTACAAAATGTTTTTCGAGGGCCGAGAAGATGTGAACGACGAAGAGCGTGCCGGACGCCCGAGCACGTCAACAACAGACGAAAACATTGATGAAGTGAAGAAAATAGTATTGGTCAATCGTCGAATCACCGTTAGAGAAGTTGCTGAGGACCTAAACATATCGATTGGCTCGTGCCATTCGATTTTTACCAATGATTTGGGCATGACACGGGTCGCCGCGAAATTCGTACCAAAATTGCTCAATTTCGACCAAAAACAGCATCGCATTAACATTGCTCAGGAGATGTTGGACTCTGTCCGCGACTACCCAAATTTGCTCCAGAGGGTCATAACTGGTGACGAATCATGGGTTTATGGTTATGACGTGGAAACCAAAGCTCAATCATCCCAATGGAAGCTGCCGCACGAGCCAAGACCGAAAAAAGCGCGCCAAGTTCGGTCAAATGTGAAGGTTTTGCTTACAGTTTTGAAAAAACACAAAATTTGCGATACTTTTTGAACACACCTCGTATATATATATATATATATATATATATATATATATATAAATATATAACTATTATATAGCTATAGTCATATACTAAGTAAGATGGCTGATAATAATTGCTCCAATGGTTAAATGGATTCTCTGACCAATTTAAAAACAATTTTTCTTTAGCGAAAATGTTGATAAGTTAATAATTTTTAAGTTATAAACAATTGAAAAAAAAACGCATTTTTCACAAACTAAACTTATTTGTAGAGTTAAAAACTAATATAATTACTTCTTCAGTTAATTTTAGGTGGAGTTTTGTTTAATAAAATTTTAATTTGAAGCTTATTAGTTACAAAGATATACGTAATAACAAAAATTGAAAGCTTACAAAAATGATAACCTTCGATATTTTCACTGAGAAAAAGTCGTCTCCAAATTGACTAAAAATCCATTCATAATCGTTGGGGCGATTATTATCAGACACACTGTATATATTTTTTTTGCATGCGTTAATTTCTCAGAAAGGAAAGCTTGCAAAAAAATATTAGCATTATTTTGATTTTAAAATAATGCTAATATTATTACATGTAATTAGGTATAATATTCATTATAATTCTACATTTAATTATTGTAACATGTTAGTGCAAGTAACATGACTTTATGATATTTGCATCTTTTTATATAGGTTATTTGTGCAAGCAGGTGTTAAAAATTTAGAAACTGTGTGTTGTATGCAAAGAAGCTGTGAAATCAGACTCTGCTACTACGTCTTCAGTGTCGGAATTGGTGGAAATGAAATCGAGTGGAGGATTAATCCATGCTAATTTAAAATTTTTTCATCTAATTCGTTACATAGAAATGTGTTTTACTAAATATGCCTCGCGAAAAGAGGTTTTTGAGGTGCCGTCACATGCGGCGTAAGAAGCGTCCGCGCGTACTGCTGCGTACTTTGCGTATTCTAGTAATATGCCAGAACTTACGCCATTTAAAAATACCCTTTCACATGGAGCATATTTCGTTAAATTTCGCGTAAAGCGTAATAAATCTAACGAATAAAGATTAGAGTTTTTGTTATAGAACACAGCAGAAATACTAAAATCGATTTTCTATTGGTTATTATTATTTAGGCGTATTGCTAAATACGCGCCATGTGAATTAGGTACCTGGTATTTATCGTAAAATATGCGTAATCATAGCTTAGGTTAAGTATGTAATGATGAAGTAAATGGATAAGGTGCAGCGTGTATAAATAAAAATGTAAATGTAAATAATAATAAATAAATAAGAAAATATGTAAATAAAGAAATAAAAATATTATTTTAACAGGTTTCATTCATATAGTTCAGCAATCAAATACTCAAAAGTACTAATATATAATGAATTAGTTAATACTATTAATTTTCAGAAATTTTTAGAACAATTTTTAGCATCCTTTTTTTGAACATTTTTGAAAGATGCATCAATTCATAAAGTTTTTAAAATTTTCTCAGAAAATTTTGAAGATTTTCTATATAAATTAACACATCGTTCAAAAAAAGAAATTTAAAAAATTGTTATGAGACATTCTGAAAATAATTTTTACCAGAGATAATCTCAAAATTATTTCGTTATATTGTGCCAACGATGAATTATATCTAAATTGAATGGATAATTTTTAAATATAAATTTAAAGTGTAAGACAGGCAATAAGGTCCAAATCGCGGATGACAGTGCGTTATCCCAACGAAACTAAATTTTTTTGTTAGAATTAAATACCTGTGCTCAAGGCACCAAATTTTACTTGATCACGGCCAAGATTTAAAATTGAAATAATCTCTACAAGAGATTTAATTCCATACATCCCCTGTTTCTCCCTAAGGAAATAAATGCGAGAGAAAAATATAGATCCGAAAGTCGCTGAATCGGGAATCGAATCCGAGACCTTTCGCTTGCCGGGTGACTGCTCTTCTAACTTTTTATTTTTAAAATTTGTTCTTACCCGAATTTGGTTATTCATTTTTTCAGCACACATCGCAAAATTATGAAATTATACGCAAATTGTTGTAACTATGCGACTTTTCGGCAGTTTACGCAAAAAATTGAATTCAGTGTATCGGTATTACGTTAAATCACTAGATGAATTTGCGTATGATAACTAAAACGAGGTGATTGGTTGATCGAGTTTGGCGTAAGTTACGCGTACGCTGGCGTACATATTTTACGCCGCATGTGACGGCACCCTCAGTGTACGCTGGATGAAGTTCTTTCTAGTTACATCTTTACTTTTCCTTGTAAAGAGCATATCGATATTTTATCATATGCAATTATATATTGTTGCGTTCTCGGGACGCCTCTCGCTCAGTCACTCACACACAGTCACTCTCACTCGCGCGCGAAATAAAGACTCTCGCGTAATAGGGAAATGAACTTTAATATGAAGACCCAATACACGAAACTAATAGGTTTGTTCGCGTCGCATGCCCTAACATGCTCCTTCTCACTCCAATGCGCTCCAATACGTTCGTGTCACCGGAAACAAGATGGCGACTAGATGTTCGCGTCACGTTAGAGCATACTCTAAGGAGCAATTAGGAGCACGCTCCATTTGCCTCACCTTCGAAGGTGGTGCATTTGGGGCTATTTTATCGCGCATGCGTGTGAAGCGTGTACTGTAAACAGTATCCACTGCTTGAATCCTCCATTTCCTATATAAATATTAATCAAACTTTATTCAAAATAAAGTCCAAAATTTTTAGTATACATATCTAATTTTAAAAAATCAATACTTACCTCCTAAATTTCTAAAATATGGCCAATGATTAAATTTCTCTACCATACTCATAAAAAGCGTTCTTTTCAAACGAAAATGCATAACAAATTCTCTATCTGTATACATAGGCACTGTATTTTCAATGTAATTGGTTATGCATGTCCTATGTATTCTTTGAACGAAACCTTCTGCAATTTCAACGATTGCGTTAATGGCAATATCTGCAAATACAAATTATATAAAATTCAATAAAAATGCACAAACTACTTAAGGAAAGATGAATTTAAAATTACAAGATTTTTAGAGATTACACCAAAATTAGAAACGTCACATCTTTATCATTAATACTCACTTTCTATTTCATCGTCGTTCCCATTGTCTTCTAACAATTCACCAATTCCTGCCAAAGGTACAGGATTTTCTGCAAAAACGTCATCATTAATATTATTTATTATTATAATGCGAAAACCGTCAAAAAAACCTAGGCGATCCATGCTGTCAAAACCTAACCTAATCGGTCAATGATGTACGATGTGCGATTGGAAGGGAAGGGAGTGCTCAAATCCGTTCGTGTCACTGAGCGTTGGTGCAAATAAACCCATCTGATCCAACCGCCATCTTATCTGTGATCCAAGTGCTCTCTGGTGTACATTGGAGCATGTGACGCGAACAAACCTAATGAAATATAATAGCGTTTTCGATTGGGGTGCACTGGCTGCACTGAATGTCAGGCGCGTGTTCGATTGGTAGTGCCAATACGCACTTGGCTAGTGTTGCGTGTTCGTTTGAACGCACAACACTCGCATAGTGCGCACTAAGTGGCACGAGATATTTTGACGGTGCCAGTTCAGTGCACTGGATGCATGCAAGCAGTAGGGCATTCTTTTGAACGAAAATTCGACATAATGAGCAATTCGAATTTGGCTCTCTTTAATATTTTGGAGACATTTTTGGAATCTTCTTCTAGTTCAAGCGAGCAAGAAGAAATAATTACAACTCTTCGAACTAGAAGAATAATTCCAAAAACTGTAAATTATGTAGAATGTGTGAAAAAAATGGATAATGACACCGTAAGTGTTATATCTTTTTATATAAACATCGAACCTATACCCTTTTTTAAAATATAATTAATGTACTTAATGTAATAGCATTTTTATACTGAATAATAATAATTTTTATATTTGTCATAGTTTTGTAGGCACTTCAAAATGTGTCCAGAAACATGTGAGCAATTAATAGATGGTTTTCAGCAATCAGATTTCTTTCCAAAAAATGAAATGCATACAATTATTGATAAATACGTGATATTCTTGATCATCTTCTATATTTAATTACATATAATAAAAATCATTACTTAACTGAATACAAGATGTCGAGGTTACTTTTTCGTTCTTCCCGGAATCTAATCAACTCAAGTGGCACTGAAAATTTCGGCGTGTTCTTTTTCATCTGCACTATTCAGTGCAACCCATGGAACTTGTCCAGTGTTCGTGTGAACTGAGTGCGCACTGGTGCGCACTAACTTTTTCCCAATCGAAAACGCTATAACAAATAGTGCATTCGTAATGCAAAGAAGCTCCGATCTCGGAAAACGTCCGCACGATGCGACCGCTAGACCAAATCTATCTAATGGCGTCGGAAAACATTCAAACGTCGGTTGTCTATAAACAACCCTCCTAGCGATGATGTTCAGGGGATGATAGTAAAGTGAAGTTGCACAGGGGATGCAAATCCAGGGACGTAACAATATTATATACGTTTACGCATGAGACAAAATTCCCATCAAGAAAATATTAATTTAAAAAAACAATTTGTTGTAAAAAAAAATTAGCTAAATTGACCAACCAATAAAAGAATATATTTGTTACGTTTTCATTTGTATATTGTTAAATATGTCTATACAAATGTACATGTATTATTATATATTTGTGAGTAAAATATATATATATATATATATATATTATATATGTGTGTTTCTTTAAATTTTTATGTGCAGTAATTATAATATAGTATATAATATATTTTTTAGTATTATTATATATTATTATTATGGTAATTATATTAATATGAATAAAAATACATAAAATAATATAAATTAATTATAATAAAAATAATTATAAATTAATTAACTAAATTAAATTATTAATTCATTAAAATTAAAGCAAATTCTTTCTTTTTTGCATAATATTGAATATCTTGTCTCATTGTCCCTATATGTCTATATATGTCTATTTTATTTATTTTGCTCAATTCCACGACCGTACTCAATTTTTAGAATTATTTAGCCTACTGCGCATGTGTACATCTTTGACAAGTAACGCGGCTCTTGTGGTCACAAGGTTAACTAATTTGCTATCCAAATCTCTGACTACCCCCACCATGTTTGTGTCAAGACCTGTGTGTACGACCTTGACCGGGGAGCACACACTTTTGTATAAGCGCATAAGCATATGCATAAGAAATTCGATTGGTTGAATTTCTTATGCATATGTTTATAGACTAATCAAGAAAGCGGGGAGCACACACTTTTGCATAGGCGCATAAGCGCAAGCATAATAATCTTGACTGGTCTATAAACATATGCATAAGAAATTCAACCAATCGAATTTCTTATGCATATGCTTATGCGCTTATGCAAGAGTGTGTACTCCCCGCTTTACTCTAAATTACTTATTGCCTATGTAGACGAGCCTTAAAACTACGAAATATTTCAATGCCATCATATTTAAAATGGCACACCCTGTATAACTAAAGAATATTGTCACGTGGTGACCTTCCTACTCTCTCTATTCCTAGGCTAGAAAGAATAGGGCGCTCTCTATTTTTATGAGGCAACCTGTTTACACCGGCTATACCTCAGGGACGCCGAGAGCACGGACTATACTATGGAACTGGGGACCAAGTATTGGGAACGTTGGGGATGGGGAATTCTAGTTACTTGTAAGAAAAGGATTTCTACTAGCAATTCTTTCTAAGCTATCCAATGCATTGATCAATTGATCGACTGTAATTTCCTCAGTTAAATAGTTGTTAATTAATAAATTTGATAGCGAAAATATTATATAATTCTCAAATTTAGAGTCTTGAGAATCCCTCATTGAGTCCTATTATTAAACAATTATTTAAATTACGAATTATCGGTTTCCGAGAAGCCTTGCGTTTATCGTGTGCAATGGGTCTGGAATGTTATCTAAACAGACGAGAAATTGGTCTAAATCGATGTTTCCCTCTAAAACGTCTGTTAGTAGAGCGATAATTATACTTATTATTGTATGAATTTCTTCATTAATTAATTTCCGGTTTTTTTCAATAGTATATTCTGATGACATTTGAGAAGTACTTTAAACATTTAAATATCTAGATAATTAGCATATTGATCGATTTCAAGTAAATTGTCTGAACACTGATCTTTTAGTGATTGTATCAAGTTCTTACGAGGAATTAGTTCCTGAGAGGTATTCTTTTCTATTTGTGATACTAAATCACACAATTCTGCAATTAGTAACTGTTCTGAGAATTGGTCTTTTATTGTTATTTGTACTTCATCCGTAGGATAAAATTGTTCCGGGGAAATATTTCTTTCCACTTGCGATACCAATTCGTGTAATTCTGTGATTAATAACTGCTCTGAAGAATCGGGTTCTGAACTAAATATATTAGATGGTTCGTCTGGCAAGGATTCTATTCCGGAATCAGGGGGAATTCCTTTGTCTGAGATTGGTGATAACTCTGGGAAGTTAGTTCTAAGATTAAAATAATTAAGTGCTTTTTCTATGAAGGAATCAATTGAACTTGGTAGTTCAGGAGTCGAGAATTCAAAGGAATTAAGAGGTTGGTTGATCGAGGGTTTGATCTCAGTATGAGGTGGAGTTCTTTTGTTTGCTACGAGTTTATTGTCAAGATTTAGTTGAATAGGTAAAGTCTTTAATCCTTTTATAGTTTCCGGAGAAATGGTAACTATTTCACACAATTTGATGCGAGGTTTATTGTCTGGTGACCGTCGCCTGAGCCAACGTAGAGTAGATGTGGCGCGGTTAGCACGAGCCTTTTTCCCAGCTCTGTAATTACGGTTACTCCGATGTGCGATCTTCTGTTTTAATGTTTTCATTTATAATACGTCCTAGAATAGTAGGAAAATGGTTATCAATTTAATATAAGGATACTAATGAGGAGGATGTATTGAGGGAGATTGCGTTAATTGAACCAAATCCAATTAACTAAAAAATTTATCAAAATAACATTCGTTAAATTATTGATCTTCAGGAGGTCGATTATTGTGTATCTTGGGTGAGTTTGCTCACGAGATGAAAATTACAAAAGTGAAAAGATTTACTAGATATCGACAAATAAAACCGTGGGTACTCTAGTAAATTTCCTCACTTTTGTAATTTTCATCTCGTGAGCAACTCATTCAAGATACACAATCTACCCTCTGGTATCGTTTATTAGGAAGGAGAAGATTGAGGAAAAAGATCTACATCAGGGCGACAAGGCGCTCGGCATAGATACTGAGGTTCTCGGAAGTTGAGAAGACGATCTACATCAGGGCGACAAGGCGCTTGGTTTAGATACTGAGGTTCTCAGAAGTTGAGGAGACGATCTACATCAGGGCGACAAAGCGCTTAGCATAGATACTGAGGTTCTCAGAAGTTGATAAGAAAGTTGCCTCCGGTACGCTATTCAGTGCTCGGGGGCAGGAAATAATCAGGGCGTTGATAGGAGAGTTGCCTCCGGTGCTCTATTCAGTGCTTCGGGGCAGGAAATATGAGGATGCGAACGAAGAGAATTATTAGAGTAATAACAGGAGTTCTGTCTTTATGTTAAAATTTATCATTTAATATTGATGTATTTTCTCATTAATAGGACGATTGGATAATTATTTAAAAAAATCTGCACAATCTTCGAAACTTGTTCGAATTTTTATGTAATACTTATGTGTGCGATGATCTGCATGATTAACAGATTCCTATCTTTAAGACGACGAACTCTTCGTAGACCTGTGATGTGCTTGGCCAGCTTCGCTCCCTCGCAAGGACCTCGGTCGTGGGGTGCTTATGGCGAAATCAAACACTAGGTTGTACGATGCACTGAAGTTCTTTATTCGTCTTTTAAGCCGGTTACAAATTTGGCGCGATTAAGAATTAAGAAGTCAGCGAGATCGACGGCTAACCCGTAACTTGAACAATATACCAAGTTACAAATTTACGCGGGGTTACAGCGATTAGGCGTCGTTGACAAAGTTATATATTTCGAGATTCGCGTTATAAACAGTTATGATCTTTTAGGATGATACGAAATTGTTGCTGCACTCCTTGGCTAGCGACAATTTAAGATGGTACACTGTAACTTTTCTATGATGAAATGCCGTCCCGCGGCCAGATTTTCTAAGGTTTATATATCCCTCGAAAACGAAAAATCCTGGTGTCGTGTGCAAATTTTTGGGTGGGAGGATTCCCACGAAAGCGCTTTCCAAGAAGATATCATAATAAATTTTCTTATAAAAGAAGGGGGTGGTTTGGCGGTTCTGAGAAGGCAACTAGTGAGCTCTTCTTTTGACCAAATATGGTCACGAGGATCTATCATGACCATATATGATAATAGGCGACAAGAAAATCTAAGAGAGAATAAGTCGTAAAAGGGTATGATTTGTTGGTTCTCGAGGTTCATGACGTGCAGATGTTAGCATCCCGAAAGGCGCGGGGTTACTTATCGTATCAAGATCGGGGGCGGTCCGGGCGACAAAGAAAGTTCAAACGGTAGCCGCACGTTGGGGTTTCTATTTGTTCGCTCGCTAGCTTCTATACGTTTCTAAAATCGTTCTCTATATAATTCTCTGCTATATTCTAGTTATTGCAATTTAATATAATGAAATAAAATTATGATTGCTAAATTATATAGTTATAATTTCACAACGTGGTATATTATTATATAGTTACGGTGAAATATTGTTATATTTATGGAATCCTTATTTATGTGAATATATTGAAAAAAGGAGAATAACATCTCTGATACTAAGTTGCAAGAATCTGAGTAGTTTATATTATTGATAATAGTGATAAAGATAGTAAGGTTTCATAAATATAATTACAATTGAGGCGCATCGTTTACGTTATCTTATAAATTAAAGAAAAGATTTTATGGAATATATATTTTATGACAAATAGTCGGTTATTAGAATTTATCAATTCTTATAATTTATTCACCATTGTGTGATTAAGATATTTATTCAGACAATTCATCATTTTAACTATTCCATAAATAACCCATACAGCACAGATTATTGCAATTATATTGCAGCAACGTTGCAAGTTGCAAGTTGCAATGCAACATTATAAAGACATTGCAGAGATATAAGTGCACAAAATTCCAGCACACTTGTAGCAACATGACATTAATATTTCGGAAATATTGCATGTAATCCAAATTCTATAATTTATATATTGTAATATATATAAATTAACTACAACGTATTTTCATTAATGATTTATTTACATTTATATACCTGTATATGCAACATTAGTTTATGGTTGCAATAACAATGCATTATTGCAAACTCATAACATATTGCAATATTGTTGTAATATTTTGTTGCAATCTTCCAAAAAGCGGACATTTTAACATTGCTGCAATTCAACAGCAATGATGTAGCAACATTTTGCAGTGAATTTGCAATATTGCAATATTGCGGTGAAAGATTGTTGTAATGTTTTTGCAATCTATCGGTGCTGTATGGGAAGATTACTCAATTTTAAACATATTGATTATAGGGTTCACACATTGATTAATAGGTTTGCACACATTGATTATATTTCGCATTTATCGTTCATACCGTTAATAATTTAAACGTTAATAATTTTAGTAACTTGCGTTAAGCGTAATCTGCGTATTCTAGTGTAACCTAGTGATTTAATAAAAGATACGCCGTGATAATTAAAGCTTATATAATAAATTAGATTTTTGTTAACTTACTCTTATTTGATTATTCTTGTTCATCTTATTAATGTATAGATATGGATGGATTAAAATTAACTTCTTCTTTGTCTTTAGTCTTTGGCAAAAGAACGCACAAATGGAGTTGTGTTTTTTTTACAAATGCGCATCAGCGTTTCTTCCGCCAGAAATTGAATTCGGCGTATCGATAATAGCGTACAAAGCATAAAATAACTAGACAGAAGCTGATACTGAAATGAGACGATGTGATTGGTCGGCGTAAGTTACCGCAAGTTACGCCTCATGTGACGGCACCCTTAGGATTGTAAGAGATGGCGACGACTAGTAATTTATAGTATGCGTTTGTTGTGTTGGATTGGTCGCGTTGCTAGTCCCTAGACTAGTTACAACTAGAAGATTCATTATGCCGGTATTACTAACGATAAATGAT